TGTTCTTTAAATTTCTGTTGTTATGTTTAAAAAATAGTGCCAATCTGTACTTCAATGCTAATGTTTGCTTTTCTTGTGAATAACCAGTTGTGTTTTATTAGTTTGCTTCTTTTTGTCTAATTTTCTTGTAATATAATTTTTGAAGAATTACAATAAAAACATATTATTTATCTTACAGTATAAAGCATTTATTTTCTTTATGTACAAACATGACGAGATGTTAATCGAATTTTTTTTCCGTAATTTTACGACTAATGTTTTTCTTTATGAATCATCTACTGAAAAAAAAAAGCTTTTTTTTTTGCTTCATATTCAATGACTGAATTTAAAGTATTAATATATTCCATAAATTACCAATCGTTTTATCTTGATGCTCGCTTCTTTATCTCACTTTTTTTTAATACAAGTTTTGCAAAATTATTTTTAAAAAAACTTTCAATTTCTGTTACAGTTACAAAACGCTTAACTTTTAGTCTATACCAATAAAATCTATAGCAGAAATGAAACTTTTTTTTTAAAAAAAAAATTTAATAAATATATAAACTTAGTTATTCCTGGTGGGAATTTTAACTCAATCAGTTTGTAAATTATTCCATTGCACCCAACTCTATGACATTACTGATGTCAAGCATTAACATAGCTGAAGTCTATTTTAAGTGTAAGCCTCTGCGAATGTTATTCTTGAGGTGTTATCCCACATTGTTTGTCTGGTAAACATGAAAGACAAGGTTTTAATTAATTTCAGACTATTCTCTTCAAACGTGCAAAGCAAACTTATAAGTTGATAGCTGGAAGGTAATAGTAAATCTTTGTTTGCTTTAGATCAGCGGTTCCCAATATTTTTCGACTACAGAACCCTAAATAATTAACCTTCTTTCAGCAGAACCCCAACTTTATAATTAAAGTTAATAAAGATAATAGTGAACGTTGTAGACTTAAAGATTATTTTTAAAATATTTTATTATTTTTAAATGTTTTAAAAAGAAATTTTTGTGATAACATCTAAAAATTGGGAGAGATAAAGGACTCCGACCTCAATATGAATAATATAAATACTGTGTTGTTGTTAGCCAATATTAATGATTCTAAATTTCTCTTTATAGTCTTTTATTCTTTCTGAGTTCTTTATAATTTGCAATTTTAAAACTTATACGCAATAAGAGATTAAAATATCCCTTATCCAAGCAGTAGAGTTAAAAGAATAAAATTTCACTTATCATAGTAGGAAAGAAAGTAAGGAGAATAAAAGCAATCAGTATTGAAAGAATAAAAATAATCAGCAGTATAAGAATAAAAATTGCCCTACCACATTGTAATAACGGTTAGATAATAAAGGTAATCAATGATAAGAGAATAAAATTTTCTTATTAGAGTAGTAAGGGAGTAAAAATTAAGTAATCAGTGATAAGGGAATATAATTTCCTTTAACCTAAAGGAGAACAAATTTCTCTTATTGCAGTAGTAGTGGTAAGAAACTAAATTTCCTTTATTGCAGTATTATGGGAAAAAGGATATATTTTCCTTTGTTATAGTAATATCCGAAAGATAAAATTGCTTTTAACTTAGATAAGGGTAAGAGAATAAAATACCTTTATTACAGTAGTAGTGGTAAGAAGACAAAATTTCTATGAGTGCAGTAGTAGTGATAAGAGAATAAAATTTCCTTTGTTATAGTAATATAGGAAAGATAAAACTGCCTTAATCATGTTACGAGCAGTAAGAAAAGAAAAGAAAAAAATCCCTAGGATGAAAATAATCAATGGTAACTTAAACAATCCCTTGTCTTTCCAAATTGCCAAAACAGAATGAAATTTTCTTTCTTCCGATCGTTGCGACGGTAAAAGAATAATAAAAGTCAGTAATACGATAAAAAAAAATTTACAATACCAGAAATAGGCAATTTGTTCCCCATGTCCATTCTCATCATTTCTGTCCAGTGCACTGTGGGCCAGAAGACCATGATCTTTGGCCAATAGTCAAAAATTAAATTTTCAACTAAAATATGTGTAGGCAGTTTTAATATAGCCCAAATTAAGTATTCATAATCATTCCAAACATTATAATTTACTTTTTGGACCGACGAGAGTACAATGTAATGAAAAATATGTTAAAATTTTTTTTTAAATGTAACTTTTAAATTTTTATTTCAGAAATATATATAGGAATTTCACCTTACTGTTACATTTTTATCAGAGTAATTAGTCTGAAATTATAGTACAATTTTTCAATTTGTTGGATTAGTTAATACTCTTGACAAACTTATAGTTTATATCTTATCATTTGACATTTTACAATGTTTGAATGACTTTCGATACTTAGTTCCAAAAAGTTCCACGAGGTAATTAGCTAAACTTTTTGTTGTTGTCTTCTTTGGACTAAATATACCAAAAAACAAAAATTGTTTTTTTTTTTCATATTTTCGCGTTATTTTGTAATATTACTTCGGAAATATAATTTGCTTTTAATTCTTAATATAAAATTAC